TGCTGCTTGGTTACATCTCTCCCATCTCCAACAACCATTAACTGCGCTTTACCATGTTGGTGAACTGTTGTTCCATCTCCAACAACTATTAGTCGAGCTTTTTCATGTTGGTGAATTGGTTACTTTTGCTCCATCTTCAACAATTATTAGGTGTGCTTTGTTTTTCATGTGATTACTGTTTTCTTATCTCTCTTGAGAACTTTGCTGCTGGCATCTCTACACTCATAAGGTTAGAATACTTTACTTTAACTATTTAATATAATTAGAATACATATATTTGACGTGTGGTTTAATACATAGTTGTTGTTGCCAGCTGTTAATAATATGTTTTGGCTTTCTGTTATTTTATTGTCTAAGTTCCATGCGGATTGGAACGCTTTTGGGGTTCTCCAATTGCTGGCTTGTGTACCCTTTCCCATGGTCTAATTGGCTTGGTCTGTCATAACTAGAATCAGGTGCCACACATGCCATCACTTGATTTGTTTTTGACTTACGCTTTGATGTTCTTCTAAACAAAGGTTTAACCGCCTTCTTCTTTCTTGAGCCCCTATAATAATCTCTATTATCTGCTTTTCTTTTTTCCAATCTTCTGTTTAAATCTTGTTGTTTGGCATTTTCATCAAGTGGTATTGGGGTTATCAACTCTTTAACCCTGGAGCTATTTCTTCTGATTGTGATGCTTTTTGGAAGCAAAATCAATTTGTTATCAGACATTTTATTGGTATCTATATCATTCAAATACTTCTGATTGATCCCAATTATCTCAAATAGTTGTTGATCTTCAATCAACATTTTATAAGTTAGTGCCAAGTCTGTACCAGCTTCCATATGGGTCCCAAAATATTTTTCTAATATATTACCAGGGTCTTTAACTTGCAATCCAGATCCACTAATGTATGATAGAGTGCATATTATATGTAAACAATTTGAAATATAAGCATGATTGGATAGGCATATGGAGCATGATTTAGTCTGAACCTTTCCTACTCCAGGTTCTGATCTTAGGTGAACCACGGATTCATTCTCATACATTTCTAGCCAAAACTGATGACGGAAATTGAGGTAGGTATTGTTCCTCTTTAATTTGATATATTCGTCAGCAATAATGGTCTTGAAATTCTTAAATTCAAAGTTTTTCTTGGTTTCTTGTGAAATGTAGACTTTATATTTATCCTTTGCAAGTTCAACAACGGTAAAAAACCTAGCAAGTTTTAATCTTAACCAGATTTCAACTCTTGCTAATTTGCACATCTCTATCTTTTCATCATCTCCACCTAAAGTTTTTCTTTGAAGATTCTTAATTTGATTAACTTGCAACTCTTGAGCAATAATACAATTACTAATAATCAAAAAAGTCTTATTCATAGATCTTTCTTCTGTGATCTTTGCATTAAACTGTTCCACAGGGTTACTTGTGAAGGTTTCACCCCGTTGGAACAGTGCATTTTTCCTTGTAAACAGTTGATCTCTAAACATGATGGTGTTATATGTATTATTTCTTAGTGATTTATTTGAATCATTAAACATTAACGATAATTCATTCTTAAATTTTGCTAAAGCTTCACCATCTCCCGTATGTATTATCTTATTAAATAGAATACCAGCATCTTTTAACATCTTCTTATCTTTTATATATTTTAGCAGATTTTTTTTTTAAATGCACGATACAACTTGAGATATCCATTTCTTCAAAGAAATCTGTTAAACAAATGTTCATACTGAGTAACAATCCTTTTTGGCTGTCTGAAAGCAAACGAACTTGCTTCAAAGATTTAAGCTCCTCAAAGTTAACCATTTTAAAAGTTTCCAATACAATTGACCAATTAATAAAATTTTCATTATTGACTAATGCGAACCCAATTGGAATTGATGACCCATTACACAATCTTGTAGATATAACCAACAATGTGTTGAAATTGTCTTTATATCTACTATATTTGATCTTCGTGTAAGTGCCATCCAAAAACAAGCAGCCTTCACTTTTATCCCAAATAGCTTGTGACACTTTGTTTTGAAAGTAGACCAGATCAATACTTTTCTTCTTGTTCTTAAGTTCAACCAACAGATTTATTGCATTATCAATGACAGATTTATCAACAATATCTTTCTTTGCTTTAAACTCTTGGGTAAACGATTGTGTACTGCTGTTGCTTTTATTATAAACTTCTGCTAATGGAAAGAATGATTCGTTCCGATCAACATGTGAAGCAGCTAGTTCACTTAGCGAAGCCTTTTCAGCATCTGGAATATCATTATCTTCAGAATCCTCATCCATTTCGTCCACCAAATCAAAATTTAATTCTTCATTTTCTTTACCATGTTCGCCTGTAGATCTTGACAATTCTTTTCTTAGCTTCTCCTGCTTGGCTTTATCAATATTATTATTCAATTTCTCCAACACCTGATCTGAGTTTGGAAATTGATCAACACCATAACTTGTCTCAGACTTATAATTAGTAAATATCATTTTCTCCTCAGATGCCACAAACATGGTGATTTCATAATTAGTAAGTTCTAATGCAAGCGATATAATGTCACTGTCTTCGAACTCATCATTATAAATATTACCAATGTTTCTACGAAGTTGTGATTCTTCGTTCTTCTTTGTGCTGGTGGTGAAATCATTAACCGAAAAAGTTTTGTTCAATCTCTCATTAATCCTTTGAAATACCTCAGAGTTATCTAGTCCCATTATATTGATACAACAAGCAATAACAAGATCATTAAGATCTTTATATTTTTGCGACATTGTTTTCTGGTTTGTATTCATCATCTTAGGATACAAACGAAGAGTAACCTCTGATATGAATTCTAATGATCTTTTTGAAGATATATTCACAGTTTTACTTATGAATATATATTGTTTAAATAATGTCACATCACCAAGTAATTTTTGGAATATTTCATCATATAATTGTTCCTGGTGTCTCCATTTTTGAACAATTTCTTCATCAAGTTCAGATTTTGTTTTTTTTTTCTTTTTGTTAGCTTTGCTATCTTGTACTTCCTTTTCCCTTAGTTTTTTTTTAAAGTTTATTGCTAGTTTATTTATAATATCAGGGTATTTGCAGATATGATTTTCAACATAAGATGCTAAGTATACAAAAGGACTTCTGAAATTATTAAATTCCAATAATGCTAACCTTTGATTGCATGACCTGCATTGAATTATTCTTTTTACTGTTTTCGAGTTTTCAGCCAACTCATAAACCCTTGTATCTTGGATACCAGATCCAATACCGTTTATAATATCGTATATTATAAACAATATTTTTTCAGCGGTGTCAAATGAAATAAACTTGTCACCAACTGCGACACCTTCAACAATTGCGCTGTATTCTGATATGATTAAGTTCTTAAACGTATGTCCATATTGAACCTCAGTAGGTCTTTTACTGAAAAAGTCTTCACTTGGATTAAGATTTATATCTCTCAGTCTAGGTTCAGGTGGTTTAAACGATTCATTGGATTCAACTTCATCATCACCTCGATTCCTAGGCTCCACGTTATTCAATTCGTTACTCAATTTAGAGCCCTTTAAGATTAATTTTAATTGCTTTCGCCTTTGTACTTTGATTAATTGTTTTAAAATCAAAATTTCTTCATTAGCTTTAACGATATCTTCATTTCTTGTAAGAAGCGTAGATTCCAATTTGAGGATCTCTTTTTGTTTGTCCTCAATTATTTTCTTGTACTCTATGTTTTCCTTCAATAAAGATAAAGTTTTTCTCCTTAAAAGAACCTCCCTTCCATCTTCTGGTTGTGGAACATCATCCGTCCTCGTAAATAATGACATTTGTAAATTCGATTTGAGAACCAGCAGAAACAAAGGTAACGA